AAAAAATAACCGAATCCTTACTTCAAATCGTTCTAAACCAGGATTCTTATCCTTATATTGATATATTAATAAACGAAATGACAAGAAACTAGATTTTGTTAAAATAAAGAGTATTTTGAGCTTTTCCTATTTTTAATTATGTGCTCGTGGCTTCGTAATTAGTATACCTATATTTTTGTATTCACTTTTGTAATTAATATCTGTACCTTTGTAATTGTTATTTATTTTTTGGCATTAGAATAATATTATATTAATATGGAATTGACACCTTTCTCATTCCACCTGCCTCGATTAGCTTCGCTATACGGTAGGCAGTCTTTATTTATAAGTTAAATTGTGATTATAAATAAAGATGTTCTTGTTGTTAAAAAAAACTTCCCTGTCATTGGAAGCAATGGAGGACTGTGTGATTAAAAATTAACAATGTATCTTACTGTTTGAGATGACAATTTTCTCTTTTTTTTCGAAGAGAGATGGAGTCAAAAAAAGGGAAACTTTTCTAATTAAAATTTCTCGCTTGCATTTGAATTAATTGCAAAGGTGTCTTAAGTTTTTGGTTTCAGCCGACTAAGCAGAAATGTAATGCTAAACTCCTTTGAAAGAGATAAAATATGATACAGACAGAGAAGGTCATAGCATCCAAGGTTTACGACGCTTGCAATACTTCTGTTTTATTTCTTATTATTATCTTGTATCTTTTTATTTTCATAATAAGAACTTTCTGAAAAATATAAAAAAAATCCCACCATTGTATCACTTTTTCAATACTTCCTCCGAAAGGAAATAGAAGAGTCTGATTTTCTTTTGTCTTCAGTAATCACCTTGTAGAGGTTGAGGTCATGTAAGTCAGTTATGAACATCGATCTGGTGAATAACATATACCCCTTTACTGAATTACTATTCCAAATTTCTCTTACAGGAAGGAGAGAGCCAGTGGTAATGACGATCCGATCCTGCATTATAATTACACTGTGCTACTTCTATAGAGTTTTCGCTCAACAATGCGAAGTGGGTCAGCAAGCCATTTTTGGTATGATGCTTCGAAGACACACGTTCAGAACTATGAAAACAACGATTGCCGTTGAATGTAATCAGGCATGTAACAATGAATTCCGATGTCACAGCTTCAACTACGTCATTTCAAAGGA